ACAGATGAGTCCTCCTGGCAGACTAGTGGGGGTATGAGACCATGGAGAGGCTGGTAAGAGCTTAAAGGCTACTGTCAGGGTGACAAGTGAAAGGCAGCCCCCAAGGCATTGTGGGCCCTTTCATTCGTTTGTTCGTTCATTCATTCATTCGTTCATTCATCCATCCATTCATTCATAGGTATCAAATACCTATTAGGTAAAGTGAGTGAGGAGGGTTGTTCTGGAGGGGGTAGAGGCAGGGATGGAGACAAGGTAAAGGAGGTGGGGCCGCCTGGGGCTGCTGAGCTTCAAGCCAGGAGGCCTTCCTGGAGGAGGGTGGCCAGACCCAGTGAGAGGATGCTCTGCCTCCAGCTACAGCTCTAGGCACAGGCTGGAGTCAGGAAGGGGAGCCAGGTACAGCCACAGCCATACAGACCAGACCAGAGAAGATTCCTTAGTCCATGTCCTCCTGCTCCACCCCGTAGCAGGAACTCAGATCAGGAGGCAGGGGTTCTTGGACGCAAAGTGAACTTTCAGCCTCTGCCCCCATTTGCTCGAAACCTCTCCGAGGCTCTGAAGGATAATTACCACCTTGCCGCTGGCTCGCAGGCCTGGAGAAAGTGCAAGGGTCAACAGTCTTATCTCCATCGGTGTCTGGGGGCAGTTCTGGGTAGACAATGGCCACGACCTTGACAACCATCTCCTGACCTCAGGATTCCGCAGGTCAAAGAAACAACACCTGCAAATAGAATACCAGGAAGATTCCCCAGGACACACTGGCCCGGTGGTTCGGTGGTTCGGTGGTTCGGTGGTTCGGTGGTTCGGTGGTTCAGTGGTTTGGAGCACGGCTCACGGGTCTGGGGTGAACATCCCGGCCCACCTCCCACTGGCTGCAGGACTCAGACAAGCCCTGGACCTCCCCGAGCCTGTCTCCTCCTGTGCACAACGGGGGTAATCCTACCACGTGTCCCTCAGAGAGCTGCTGAAGAGATGAGTGAGAGAATGTCCACAGAGAGTCTGGCACACAGTAGGCGCTCAATCCATGGGAGCACGTATTAGGGGCCAGCTGTGCGCCAGGCACTGCTGGAGGGCCCATCGTCCCACAACCTGACGGGCCTGTCCTCTTCCAAGAGGTGAAGGTCATGAACACAAAGGAAAACTTAGAAGAAACAAAGAAGAGATGGAAGGAGGCTAACAAGGCCTGACAACCAAAGGCCACCCCTGAGCTGGCATGTCCTCTCGCCATAAAGGGCATTTGGAAGTATTGCTCAAATCCCAGCACCGTCTGTAGATGAGACAGTGGAATTTACTTCAACATTAACTTGCTGATTGCCATCGTTGTACAGTGCTGATAAAAACAGAATCTCTTATTTTTAGAAAGTAGATACTGAATATTTAGGGGTAAAGAGGCATCATGCCTGTAACTTACTCTTCAAGTTCAGAGAGAGAGAGAGAGAGAGAATGGATAAAGCAAATGTACTAAAATGTAAAAAACGTGGGGAATCTAGGTGGAAGGTATATGATCATTTTTTGTATTTTTCTTTCAACTTTTCTGTAAAGTCTGTCATTGTTTAAACAATAAATAAATAAAGGCAATGCAGGGCCCATGCCCTGAGAGGAGGCAGAGAGCCCTGGCAAGTCCCAGGCGTCCAGGGAGGGTGGTGGTCAGCCTCTGGGTTGCCCAGGACTGTTCTGGGTTTAGCACCGAAGGTCCTTCATCCCCAGAAATCCCACAGTCCTGTGTGAAGTGGGGTGGTGAGTCACTCACTCCCAGGTAAACCTGGTGGGTGAACACTGGGTGCACAGCGAGCCCCTGCGGGTCAGTGGGCCTCCCTGTGGCGGGGTCCCCAAAGGCCGCGTCTTCAGCCAGGAGTGGGCAGAAGGCAGGCTGGGCACCTCGTCCCAGCCAAGAGCCACCCAGCGCCTTACTGACAAAATGCAGTGCTCACCTCAGAGAGCAAGATTTCAAAGTGGCCAAATGGCCTTTCGCCTGGATCGCTGCCGAGGCCCCAGCGTGGAACGAGGCTGATGGTGAGGCCGCCCCGCCCAGCCCTTGACCAGTTCCTCATGTGCCTCAGGCAAGTAGTTAACCTGCATCCATAGCTACTCAGCTATCGCGGTGCCGTGAACCTGAAGCGTGAAGGATGGACAGGCTGTTCATGGCCGAGGAATGTGGCCTACAGCTCATCTCACCCCGACCCAGCCTGCCTGGCTGGTTGGCGGCTGCCAGGGGCTGGCCCCTGGGCCCTCCCAGGCTGCTCTGCCACCCTGATGACCTCCTGGGGGACTTCCCACCTGAGTGCAAAGGGGCTCAGGCACCTCTGTCGGCCCTCACCAGTCACTGTGCCGTCCCCTCCGCCCAGCCCCTCCGGGACAGAGCCATGAAGGGCTCAGAGGATGATTGGGGTTTGCACGCGAGCTCTGAGGGCCATCCATGAAAGCCTCGTTACTGTGATGACGGCGTGGATATGAGCTTGCACGCGGCAGGCTATAAACACCGTGACGGAGGACGCCACTCCGCCGAGCTAGCGCGGCCGGGCCAGCTGTGAGTCAGGCCTTGACCTTGGCCACCTTCTTAATTTAGAGGCGCGGCAGCTGCCCACCCGAATTAGCCGGCCCTCGTTCCGGCCCGCCTCTCTCCCCCCAGGTCCTTTTCAAAGTCAAGTTGGCAAGTTGTCCTGTGGGGTGTTTTCTTGTTGGACTGTTTTTAAACCACACACGTTCCAACAGTACAGGCTCGGGTGAAAGGCCATCCCCACTCACCCCGGACCTCCGTCCGCACCTCTGCCTCCTCTGAGACCGTCCCCGTGTGGAAGCCACGCCGAGAAATGCCTCGTCCCCCCACAAACGTTAGCACAGCTCCCCTCCAGCTCTGCGCTTGCTTTCCGTGGTCCACCCTCTTGAAGAGCCCTCCACCCCTCGTCCTTTGCAACCACAAGCGATCCTTCCAGGAGGTCTCTGTACCTGGATCTTCGCCCTCCCAAGTACTAATTATAGGTTTTCCTGAAAGTGAAATTGCTGGCATTATCGCGTTTCCATTTGGGGGAGGAACCGCCAACCTCTTTGAGAATCAAATGAAAAAGAAAAACCATCCTCTCTCCAGAACAAAAATTAAAAATCCCGTGCAAGGATTTTGCATTCATCTTCTGGAGGGAAGCTCACAGGCCCTGCAGGAAGGCGTGTTGGATTAGGGGGAGAGAATGTGGAAGGCAATTGCAGCCGACCGTCACTTTCTGTGTGTGTGTGCGTTTGCAGGCGTGTGTGCGTGTGTGCATTGTGTGCGTGCGTGCATGCATGTGTAAGCATGTGTGCATGTATGTGTAAGCATGTGTGCATGTGTGTGTGTGTTTTGATTCGCTCATTTTACAGGAATCAAGCAGTTGGTTCCACTGACAGCCAGTGCAGTTCAGTTCAGGTTCCAGAAGTCGGATTCTCACCACGCCCCACCCACAGGGTACATACCTCTCACAGCCGCCCTGCCCCTCGACGCCAGATCCCCAGAGCGAGGCTGTGGAGCCGGAGTGCCCAGCGGGGCTGCTCCTCACCGCGGCACGGAGGCAGGCGCTGGGACCCGGGGCCGCTGGGGACCCTGCCTGCAGCTGCCGCCTGGGGACTGTGAAACCAGACCCTGCCCTGAGCAGGCTCCGGAGCTCACACGCTCAGCCAGGAATTAATATTTTATGCCGCAGCCAATGGGACTCGGGGTAACAAAAGTCCCTTCAGGAAGGCACTGTCCAGAGCGCGCAGACTGTGTCTCTCATTCAGCGTCCACATCAGACTGAAGAGACTCCACGAGAGAGAAGCTGAAGGGAAACATCTGTGAGCAGCCGTGGCCGATCAGAGTCCGGCCTCAATGGGCTCGGGGTCTGGCTTTGGTGCCCTTGGGAGCCAGGAGCTTCCCTTGGGCTCTGGACACAGGACATGGCGTCCGGCTGGCCCGACGTCCGAGGGCACTGCCCACAGGGAGGACATGGCAAGAGCCGAAGCCAGAGAGTCAAGGGCCCCAGCTGACTGCCTACCAGGCCACTCTGACGGAGCCTCACGCAGGGCCACGGCCACCAACCCGGAGCCAAGCCAAAGAGCCACCTGGCGCCTGGCTCGGAGGAGAGGCTCGACACCCGCCATGCCCCCCTCCCTTCCCCTTCCCCTCCGGTTCCTGGGCTCAGCTCTCTCCGGGGCCTCGTGCCGCCCGTACGACACCTCACAGGCATTTAGGACTACAGCCCCCCTGGTGACATGGCCACTTTCTGAGGCTGCGGAGGAGATATCAGCTGGGGCCTTCGCAACCGCACTGGTCAGAAACTCACCTCTGCTCCCCGAGCTACAAACCCCCCAGCGGGTAGAGAGTGTGTGGCTCACCCATTGGAGAGGATGGAACTGACAACTCCCACTCTCCAGGGGAGGCACGGGGGCCCCCCTCAGCAGCAATCCTCTCACCCCCCTGCTGAGGGCGGTGACGGCAGCACCTGTGATTAAGCGATAACTAGATGCCAAGAGCCATGGGGGCTACCTCTATGCGAGCCACTTGTTATGGATTACGGCAAACACTGTCACTACGCCCATTTTACAGATGAGGAAACTGAGGCTGAGGAAAATCAACCGCTTGCTCAGAGTCATCCCAAACCCAGTGAGCACAAGGCCAACTCATCCCGTGGGTACAGCAGGCACTGTGCCAGGGCCCACAGTGCTTTCAGGGGCCCATGGAAATGTTTTAATGTCACTTAACATCAGAAGGAAAATAGGCTTTCAGGGTGAAGAGCAGCATTTCTCTAACTGAAATGTGATGAAAAATATTTTAATATGTAAGCTGTAATTTATATAATATAATTGTTTTATGAATAATATAATATATTCATTTTTATTCCAATGTAGTGGTAAAGTATATTTCAGATTTTGCTTTTTTTTTTTTTAGAAAAAAAAATTTTATATCAAAGAGAGGAAGGAAAGGAGAGAAACATTGATTGGTTGCCTCCCAAATACACCTGGACGGGGGATCAAACCCACAACCTGGGTTAAGTGCCCTCACTGGGAATCAAACCACCACCTTCTGAGCCACCTCGGCCAGGGCAGGTTTGGCTTTTTAATGGGAGAAGGGGCCCAAGAGACAAATGTGTGAAGGGCCCATGAAACTCATCATGCTGCCCTGAGTAAGCAGGACTTGGACACAGATCTGGTCTCCGCTGAAGGCCAGGGCGGTCAGAGAAACGCCCAGCCTCTCCCCCAGGAGCACAGAAACGCCCAGGGCAGTTCTGAGAGCTGAGTGCGCGCCTGTCCCTGGGAAGGGACACTCGGCCTGCTGGCCGCTCTCCCTGGTGGGCAAACTGCACGGGCTCAACTCCTGGCCTAAAGCAGCCAGCGCTGGAGCAGCCACCAACGGCACCATAACTGAGGCCCCACCAGGAGGTCGGCCTCCTTTCCCTCCACGTCTCGGAGGAGACAGCGTAGACGGAGGTAGTGACCGTGCTCATGGAAGGGGCGTGTTGCTTTTAATGAAGGCGTCACCAGAGTTGGAAATCCACGCTTGAGCTGTGCGAGTTCAGGATTGCACAACCTGAGGCAGAAACCATGAAATGAGAACAGAGGCCTGAGGGATGAGCAGTCCTGGGTTCCTTCCAGGTGAGCAGCGCTGTTGCCCAGCAGGTGAGCTCTCCCCCACCAGGCTCCGTGCCATCGTTAGAACCACAGCTGCTCACACCAGGGAGGCTGAACCCTGGGAACCAAACAGGGCAGTTTCTCGGGGGGGTTCTGTCTGCGCTGGGCAGGGGGCAGCCTCCTCGGAGGACAGCTCCCGGCCCCTCCCCCACAGCAACGTTTTTTCAAACTGCGCTGTGCGCAGGTATCACGTGGAACGTGGTTAAAATGCAGCTGAAGATTCAGTCGTGTGCCTGGCCAGTGTGGCTCGGGGGTTGAGCATCGACCCGTGCACCAAGAGGTCATAGGTTCGATTCCCGGTCAGGGCGCATGGCCCGGATGCAGGCTCCATCCCCAGTAGAAGGTGTGCAGGAGGCAGCTGATAGATGTTTCTCTCTCATCAATGTGTCTCTCTGACACTGAAATGAGCCTATAACCCTGAAATGTGGAGACTCTATCCCAGGGGTTCCCCATTCTGGTGATAGCTGGAGTCCCGGGGAAGGGCCCCAATGTCGTTGAAGAGGAATGATGGCCACCCCCCCCACCCCCCCAGCGAGGGAGCTTGGGGACAAAACTCGAGGGCACCAGCAGTGATTTTTAAAGTGGTGTCATATCCGCTGTGGATACTTAGTTTAATGACATTCAATATTTAGGAAAGTATTTACCATTTCACTTGTAAAGTAACGCGTGAGCCCTGCTTTAGGAACACGTTATCGAACATGTTGATAAAAACGGCTGAAGGTTACCATCTGTTAAAGAAATCTTAGTGGAGCGCTCCTTGTTTCAACTGCTCTGAGCCTAGGAGACACGTTTCTCCCTGAGTAGTCTGTGCTCCTTGACATGATTTAAACACACACGTACATGCACGCACACACACCCTGCAAAGGTTACAAACTTTCATATTCAGTAAAATATTCACCTTAAGCCCTAGCCGGTTTGGCTCAGTGGATAGGGCATCAGCCCACAGGTTCTACTAGTATTTTGGTCAAGGGCATGCACTTGGTTGCAGGCTTGATCCCCGACCCCGG